GATGGGGGCAGATCAAGGTTCAAGCCGCTCATCCTAGTTTCCCACTACGTGCTGTCAAGTATCGAGTCAGACAACCATATTTGATCAAGCAGCAATGTTGAATTTTTTACAATACAAGATTCCTTTCCTTTTCACCCTCTAGTAGATCCTAACCTTTTGACTCCATATGCAAGGCAGATCGGGTCTTACACATCCCCCTGGTTTTTCTTCTTCTTGTGCATCATGACATGAAAGACATGAAGTGCAACCGACGAAAACAAAAGAAAACATTGAGAAGAGTAGGCATGAGGAAGGACTTCTAATGCCCTATTTATAAGAAATTAAATGTGGAAATCAAGAGAGTTCAATTATAGAGTTATTAATTAAATAAGAAATGAAATCTATTTTTTCATTTAATTCTTCTATTCTTATCGCAACGTCACTTTCAAGTAGTAGGAGAATCAAAGAACTAAAATATGTACATCAAAAACGTGTTTGGACTAATCTTAAGAAGATCTAATGATCGAGAAGAGAAATGTAAGATAAAGGTTGGCTCACTACCAGAAGACAGTGAGGTCCACCTGACCAAACAAGCCAAGACCATCGGGCCAAAATTGATAGATCCATGAGGCAAATAAGAAGACGGTTGAATGATTCTAGCTTGAGCCAGACGAGATGAAAGAGCTTTCGAGCGAACCGCTACAAAAAAAACTGACTTGATGCAATTAGCCTACTCTTCTGTAAACTCGATCCAAAGTGAGATTCATATCTATGAAGTATCTCCAACAATCTCGTGGAGATTCTTAAGGTTCCACATCATGGATTAGCATTAGTCAATCAGATTAGATCAGTCGATCGGACTACACCGACTAAGCTCAATCAACTGACCTGACTTCATCAACCCAAGGTCAACAAAGCTTAGTCAGTTGAGCCAAAAGACAAGAATATGACAAAGCTCACGCATCTAAAATATCAGAAATACCATCGTATAGATCTTTTATAGGTGGAGGTAAAAATGTAATAACATGATTGTTCTAAGCCATTTAAAAATTGTAAACAATTATTAAAGATGGGAGATCACTTTTTTCGTTCATTCTCTCTCTTTATGAAATATACATACATACATATATATAGAATCTTGATTTTTTGTGAATCATGCCTAAGGAATTAACCCTAAAGAGAGATAGAGAGAGGAGTGAGTAGTAATGAACAGTAATACATCATATATGCCTTGTTTTAATCATAAAATGATATCCCTATTTATGGGGATAGGGTACATCATGATAATGTTACATTTTTGCTCTTGCTTTAAAAAAGGTTGCACATGATACTCTTGGTATTTTACATGTATGAGCTTATCACTAGGTTGCTCTTTGAGTTGGTCGGCTAAGCTCAATTAACTTCAGCTGAGTGGTCGGTATGAGTCGGATGGTTGATTTGACTCAGCTGTCAATTCTTGGCACCAGATGAAGGGCCTCTAAATGTGTCTGAGATGGTTGGAGATGCAAGGGATCTGGATCTTTCTTGGATTGTATCTCTTGTGACAATTCAGTCAAATAGTTTTGCTCGGTCAGACAAGTGGGTCTCAAGATTTTGTATCAATAAACCTGCCTTCTTCATAATCTTTTCTTATAGATTGTCATATATTCTCAATATTAACACCGACACACATTTGAAGTACAACACACACACACACACACACACACACATATATATATATATATATATGTATGTGTGTGTGTGTGTGTGTGTGTGTGTGTGTTGTGTGTAGTACTTCAAATGTGTGTCGGTGTTAATATTGAGAAGATATGACAATCTATAAGAGAAGATTATGAAGAAGGCAGGTTTATTGATACAAAATCTTGAGACCCACTTGTCTGATCGAGCAAAACTATTTGACTGAATTGTCACAAGAGATACAATCCAAGAAAGATCCAGATCCCTTGCATCTCCAACCATCTCAGACACATTTAGAGGCCCTTCATCTGGTGCCAAGAATTGACAGCTGAGTCAAATCAACCATCCGACTCATACCGACCACTCACCTGAAGTTAATTGAGCTTAGCCGACCAACTCAAAGAGCAACCGAGTGATAAGCTCATACATGTAAAATATCAAGAGTATCATGTGCAACCTTTTTTAAAGCAAGAGCAAAAATGTAACATTATCATGATGTACCCTATCCCCATAAATAGGGATATCATTTTATGATTAAAACAAGGCATATATGATGTATTACTGTTCATTACTACTCACTCCTCTCTCTATCTCTCTTTAGGGTTAATTCCTTAGGCATGATTCACAAAAAAATGAAGATTCTATATATATGCATGTATGTATATTTCATAAAGAGAGAGAATGAACGGAAAAAGTGATCTCCCATCTTTAATAATTGTTTACAATTTTTAAATGGCTTAGAACAATCATGTTATTACATTTTTACCTCCACCTATAAAAGATCTATACGATGGTATTTCTGATATTTTAGATGCGTGAGCTTTGTCATATTCTTGTCTTTTGGCTCAACTGACTAAGCTTTGTTGACCTTGGGTTGATGAAGTCAGGTCAGTTGATTGAGCTTAGTCGGCGTAGTCCGATCGACTGATCTAATCTGATTGACTAATGCCAATCCATGATGTGGAACCTTAAGAATCTCCACGAGATTGTTGGAGATACTTCATAGATATGAATCTCACTTTGGATCGAGTCTACAGAAGAGTAGGCTAATTGCATCAAGTAAGTTTTTTTTGTAGCAGTTTGCTCGAAAGCTCTTTCATCTCGCCTGGCTCAAGCAGAATCATTCAATCGTCTTCTTATTTGCCTCATGGATCTATTAATTTTGGCCCGATGGTCTTGGCTTGTTTGGTCAGGTGGACCTCACTGTCTTCTGGTAGTGAGCCAACCTTTATCTTACATTTCTCTTCTCGATCATTAGATCTTCTTAAGATCAGTCCAAACACGTTTTTGATGTACATATTTTAGTTCTTTGATTCTCCTACTACTTGAAAGTGACATTGCGATAAGAATAGAAGAATTAAATGAAAAAATAGATTTCATTTCTTATTTAATTAATAACTCTATAATTGAACTCTCTTGATTTCCACATTTAATTTCTTATAAATAGGGCATTAGAAGTCCTTCCTCATGCCTACTCTTCTCAATGTTTTCTTTTGTTTTCGTCGGTTGCACTTCATGTCTTTC